TTGGCCAGGCTGGTCTTGAACTCCTGACCTCAAATGATCCTCCCACCTTGGCCTGCCAAAGTGCTGGGATTATAAGCGTGAGCCACTGCACCCAGCCTCTTATCCTAAAATTTTTAAGAGTACAGTAGTTTCTACAGATAAGAGATGATATTTTCCAGGACCTCCAGTGGATGCCTGAAACCTTGGATAGTACTGAACCCTATATATATTGTTTTTTTCTGATAACCAAGATGACTACTAAGTAACTAAAGGACAGGAAGCATATACAGTGTGAACATGCTGGTCAAAGGGATGATTCATGTCCCAGGCAATTCGGCAAGAGATTTCATTACGCTACAAAGAGCAGGGCATAATTTGAAACTTATGAGGGCTGGGCGCAGTCACTCATGCCTGTAATTACAGCACTTTGGGAGCCCAAGGCAGGCAGATCACGAGGTCAGGAGTTCAAGACCAGCCTGGCCAACATGGTGAAACCCCATCTCTATTAAAATCACAAAAATTAGCTGGGCATGGTGGTGCATGCCTGTAACCCCAGCTACTCAAAAGGCTGAGGCAGGAGAATTGCTTGAACAGAGGTTGCAGTTAGCTGAGACTGCACCACTGCACTCCAGCCTGGGTGACAGAGAGACTCTGTCTCAAAATAAATAAATAGGCCAGGCACGGTGGCTCACGCCTATAATCCCAGCACTTTGGGAGGCTGAGGCGGGTGGATCACCAGGTCAAGAGATCGAGACCATACTGGTCAACATGGTGAAACCCCGTCTCTACAAAAAAACAGAACAAAACAAAAAATAAATAAAAATAAATTTATGAATTGTTGATTTCTGGAATTTTCCATTTAGTATTTTCAGACTGCAGTTGACAGTACATAACTGAAACTGAGGAAAGCAAAACCACGGATAAGGGAGGATGAGATCTTAAAGTCCAATCAGTCCACTCTCAGGTAGTCTGGCAGCAGGAGTTCAAGTGCTGTGGCTGGAGGCCAGGAAAACAGCTTTCCAGATGAACACTACAGGTCTGTCTCAGTGCTATCTGATGAACACCTCAAAAAACGCAACAATGAATACAACACAATGCCACAGACTAAATGTTTATTTGATGTAATGCTGGCTTGCTTCCAAAGTAGTTCATCCTAGTTAGTATTGGTTGTCAGTTCAGATATTTTCAACTCCACCAACAGGTATTCGTTGGACATGCCCCAATTGTATAAAGATTCACCAGTGACCCATCAAGTACTTTGAGTGAAGAAAAGCTAAAAAAATTTTAAGAAAATTGGGCTGGGCAAAAGTCAAGTGAAGATAACAACTCTTTCTAAAGCATAAGTTCCTATGAACTAATATTCGTTAAGCTCTTGCTGTTGGGTATTATTATTTTGAGATGGAGTCTCATTCTGTTACCCAGGCTGGAGTGCAGTGGTGTGATCTCAGCTCATGGCAACCTCCACCTCCCAGGCTCAAGTGATTCTCCTGCCTCAGCCTTCTGAGTAGTTGGGATTAAGGCACGTGCCACCAGTAGAGATGGGGTCTCGTGATGTTGGCCAGGCTGGTCTCCAACCCCTGACCTCAGGTGATCTGCCTGCCTCGGCCTCTCAAAGTGCTGGGATTACAGCTATGAGCCGCCAAGCTCGGCCAAGGTATTATTATAAACACATTTGGGTATATGTGCTCATTTACTCCTCAAAAAAACAGTAACAAAAAAACCCTATGAGCTGGGAAGTACTTTTATCCCATCAAAAGGCAAGGAAACTAAGGAGACAGAAGTGAAGTGGCATCACACTCAAAGAAGACACACGGCTAATAAAACAGAAAGGCTGCGCCGGGTGCGGTGGCTCACGCCTGTAATCCCAGCACTTTGGGAGGCTGAGGCAGGTGGATCACCTGAGGTCAGATCAGCCTGGCCAACATGGTGAAACCCCATCTCTACTAAAAATACAAAAATAGCTGGGCATGGTGGTTTATGCCTGTAGTCCCAGCTACTCGGGAGGCTGAGGCACAAGAATCACTTGAACCCGGAAGGAGGCAGCTGCAGTGAGCAGAGATCGAACCACTGCACTCAGCTTAGGTGACAGAGTGAAACTCTATCTCACAAAAAAAAGAAAAAAAAAAAAAGAAAAAAAAGCTGAGATTCAACTGAGTCTACCTAGAGAGACTACAACCACCACTAAGTAATGCTGCTGCCCTATTTGTATACTCGTCCCCTGGAACTATGTCTGTCTTCTGCTCAAAACTCTCCCATAGTTCCACATTTAATCAGGGTCAAAGCCAAAGTTCCTCCGATGGCCTACAAGGCCCTAAGTGCCATGCTTCCCATTGCTGCTCTACGTCATCTCCACTGACCCACTGCATTCCAGCCACCTTGCTATTCCTACATCACAGTATACCTGCTTCTGCCTCAAGGTCTGTCCTCGCTATTCCCACTGCCTGTTTTACTCTTCCCTGTGACATTGGTGGCTTGCTCCCTCATTTCCGCCAGAACTCTACACAGTGTCACCTCCTCAGACTAGCCTATTTAACATAGTACTCCTCACCCTTTCCACACTTAATTAACACCACCTGGCAGTAACTCCACCCTCTAGAATGTAAGCTACATGAGAACAGGGACGTCTAGGAGTCTGGCTTGTACCATTTGTGTCTAGGACACCATCTGGCACAAAGGAGACAATGTTTAAAAACCGGCCACATATGGTTTGATTCACAACCCAATTAAATAACTTCAGGCAGCAAATCATGCCCCTGTGCCAGTAAATCCCAAACCAAAAAAAAAAACGATGTAACAAAGCAGTCTTTTAGAATCTTTATTTTTATAATTTAAAACTTGGTCTTCTTTAATGTATATGTTATATGCTGATGCCTCCTTTAAAGGGTTAAGTTTCTTTAAAATGACTTGATGATTTGGAGAAACTATATACACCACCCAAAGAATTGGTAGAAGGGT